AAGAGAGAGGGAGAGAGAAAGAGAGGGAGGGAGAGAGAGAAAGAAAAAGAGGGAGAGAAAGAGGGAGAGAAAGAAAAAGAGAGAGAAAGAGGGAGAAAGAAAGAGAGCAAGAGAGAGGGAGAGAGAGAAAGAGAGAGAGGGAGAGAGAGAAAGAAAAAGGGAGAGGGAGAGAGGGAGAGAAAGATAGAGAGAGAGAGAGAGGGAGAGAGAGAAAGAAAAAGAAAGGGAGAGAGAGAGAAAGAGAGCAAGAGAGAGATGGAGAGAGAGAAAGAGAGAGAGAGGGAGAGAGAGAGAGAGAGAGAGAGATGCTGATTGGATTCCATTATTGCCTTAATTGTACTGCTGGTTAAATTGTGCAGACACAAAAAAGGCAGGGTGCAAAAACCGCAAAGCTTTTCCGCAGCTTCAGAGACAGAGCCGGAGTTATCTAGAAACCTCTTGGGGGGAATCGCCCAATTCCTGGAAGAAAAAAAAGAAAAACAAAAAAACCAGCCAGGAAAATGAATAATGCATGCCTGGAGCCGCACTTCGCCTTTTCGCAAAATGTATTTACTGATTATGTTCAATATTCTTTTGCCGATCACTCTGGGGAGGCTGGCGGAGAACCGAAGTGAGACCGTCTGGGCTGTCGCTTTGTGTTGCGCTGCCCAGTTGTCAACTTCGGAAATATTCCTCCTCCTACCGTGAACGAGACACGGGTTCAAGGATAGCGGGATAATGCAGAGTAGAAGCAACGTCAGAAGGACAAGCTCAGTTTTACTGTTCAGGTAGTCCTCGACTTACAGCCATTTACCAGGAGACGGTGAGTTCTAGTCCCGCCTTAGGCACGAAAGCCAGCTGGGTGTCTTTGGACCAATCACCAGGAGACAGTGAGTTCTGGTCCCGCCCTAGGCATGAAAGGCGGCTAGGTGACTTTGGTCCAATCACCAGGAGACGGTGAGTTCTAGTTCCGCCTTAGGCATGAAAGCCAGCTGGGCGACTTTGGGCCAATCACCAGGAGACGGCGAGTTCTAGTCCCGCCTTAGGCATGAAAGCCAGCTGAGTGACTTTGGGCCAATCACCAGGAGACTGGGAGTTCTAGTCCCGCCTTAGGCATGAAAGCCGGCTGGGTGACTTTGGGCCAATCACCAGGAGACAGTGAGTTCTAGTCCCGCCTTAGGCACGAAAGCCGGCTGGGTGACTTTGGGCCAATCACCAGGAGACCGTGAGTTCTAGTCCCGCCTTAGGCACGAAAGCCGGCTGGGTGACTTTGGACCAATCACCAGGAAGTGAGTGCTAGTCCCGCCTTAGGCATGACAGCCAGCTGAGTGATTTTGGGCCAATCACCAGGAGACGGTGAGTTCTAGTCCCGCCTTAGGCATGAAATCCAGCTGAGTAGGTGACTTTGGGCCAGTCCCTCCCTTTCACCCAGCCCACCTCACAGGGTTGGTGTGCTGGGAAGACAGGTGGAGGAAGGAGCATTCGATATATTCACTGCCTTGAGTTATTTTCCAAAAAATGCAGGTAGTCCTCAACGGCCGCAGCTGAGCCCAAAATTTTTTGTTGCTACCGTGAGACATTTGTTAAGCCAGTTTTGCCCCGTTTTACGACGTTTCTTGCTAAGCGAATCGCTGCAGTTCTTAAGTTAGCAACACGGTCGTTAAATGAACCCGGCTTTCCTCTGCTCGGCAGAAGGTCGCAAAAAGGAATCACGTGACGCACACCCCCCTGGGACATGGCGACCGTCATAAATACGAGTCAATTGCCAAGCGGCAGAATTTTGATCCTGTGCCGCAACGGTCGTAAGTGTGAAAAACAAATCGTGTCTCTTTTTTCAGCACCGTTGCAACCGAACGTCACTAAACGAACTGTTGGGAACTAGAATAACAATAAATAAATAGAATAACAGAGTTATCATGGCCACCGTCATAAATACGAGCCAGTTGCATCCAAACTTTGACCAGGTGACCACGGGGAGGCTGCCACGGCCGTAAGTGTGAGCAACGGTCCTAAGTCCCTTTTTTTCCAGTGCCGTTGTAACCTGGAACCGTCACTAAATGAACTGTCGTAAGTCGAGGACTTTCCCCATCATCAAGGCAGGATGCAAACCAGTAAACAAGGAGGATCCAATTTCCCTAGAAGCAGATTTACCGTAAGAATTGCGGATTCCTCCTCTCTCCGTCTGCCTCTTTCAACTCCTGCCAGGTTACAAATTCGATTCCCGTCTCCGGGTCTGCCAGCCGCCTCTTTGGATGTTCTGGTTGAGGAATTGCAGGCTTTTAAATCGGCTGGCCTGCCTTTCTGTGGGTACGGAAAGAATAAAAGGCACAGATACTTTCAAAACCATCTTATAAGGAATGCCCTCCTTTCAGAATGGGAAAGAATAAAAGGAAAAAAAAATAAATTGAGCAGAAACCTATAAAGTTTCTTAATCAACTTTTCATCTGCTTTTAACAACATTTGATCCAATTCTGTCAGTGCTTTGTAAAATCCCATTGTTTTCACGTCTTTTTCAGCACCCTAACCCCAACCAAATGCACAGGTATAGTATAGGAGGTACCTTGCTCAATAGTAGTAACTGTGAGAGGGACCTCGGAGTCCTAGTGGACAATCCCTTAAATATGAGCCAGCCGTGTGCTGCAGCTGCCAAAAAGGCCAACACAGTGCTGGGCTGCATTAACAGAGGGAGAGAATCAAGATCAGGTGAAGGGTTAATACCACTTTACAAGGCCTTGGTAAGGCCACACTTGGAATACTGCATCCAGTTTTGGTCACCACGATGTAAAAAAGATGTTGAGACTCTAGAAAGAGTGCAGAGAAGAGCAACAAAGATGATCAGGGGACTGGAGGCTAAAGCATATAAGGAAAGGTGGCTGGAATTGGGTATGTCTAGTTTAAGGAAGAGATGGACGAGGGGGGACAGGATAGTAGCCTTCCAGTATCTCAGGGGCTGCCCCAAAGAAGAGGGAGTCAAGTTATTCTCCAAAGCCCCTGAAGGCAGGAGAAGAAGCAACAGATGGAAACTAACCAAGGAGAGAAGCAACCTAGAACTAAGGAGAAACTTCCTGACAGTGAGAACAATTAACCAGTGGAACAACCTGCCTCCAGAAGCAGTGAATGCTCCAACACTGGAAGTTTTTAAGAAGAGAGTGGACAGCCATTTATCCGAAATGGTATAGGGTTTCCTGCCTGAGCAGGGGGTTGGACTAGATTACCTCCAAGGTCCCTTCCAACTTTATCATCATCATCATTATTGTTATTATTATTATTATTACTATTACTATTACTTTATTATTATTATTATTATTATTATTATTATTATTATTATTATTATTATTATTATTATTATTATTATTATTATTATTATTATTATTATTATTATTATTATTTCCTGCCTGAGCAGGAGGTTGGACTAGATGACCTCCAAGGTCCCTTCCAACTTTACTACTATTACTAAACCCTAACCCCCAACCCTGATCCCATTCTATCCCTAATCCTATAAAATCTAATAAAACTTTTTTTTTTAAAAAAAAGAAAAAAATGTACATTAAGATACCCAAATGGCTTTCAACAATGGAAGCTTTTGCTTACCCAAATTTAATTAACGACGATAAAGTTGCGACTTGTAAAGACGTTTTGGACAAGGAAGGAAAATTGAAAGACGGACAAAGAGTTACAAAAACAAGGTATTCATTTGGCATGGTGGCCATTTCTGCAAATTCCACCGAGATATGAAAAAGATGTGAAAACAACGGGGTTTTTATAAAGGAATTGCAGGCTTTTAACGCTTCTCCTTCTTTCCTTGGAAGATCTGCTCAAAGGGAGGAACGAGGAGATGAAGCCGGACCCCTTCCTACGCAAAAGCCCCTCCCTGGAGTCCCTCAGCAAGCCCCCCACCATGACCTTCGGGGGCCGGATGTTCACCTCCACGCCCAGCGGCTTAAAACCACCCAGCAAACTCAGGTGAGTCAGGCATATGAGATACCTTTATTGTCATTATTATTTTTTTAACTGTGGGCACGCTGGCACCCCTTAAAAATGAATTTCTGCTTCCTGCTCTCAAAAGCGTGCACATGCACGACGCACATATAAACATGCTACATGCAATGTATGTATATACCTACACTCTTAGATATAAATAAATGGAGAAAGTCCAGAGAAGAGCAACTAAGATGATC